AATTATCTTGAAATTGGTAATCTCCATACCCCAAAGGTGGATTTTCGCACCATTGATTGTTATCCTCATAACCTTGTCCATAGTATCCTTCATTTTGATTATTTTGAAAAGATTGTTGTTCATAGTATGTATAGTGATATGGTGGTTGAGAATTAAAGTGTTCACTTGAGTAATCCATGAGAAAATCTCAAGCAAACACGTGAGAACAAAAAAAAGGAAAAGAAAGTCTCCCTAACTTGAATTCGCCCATGCTAAAATCAAAATCAAGAAATCACCGTGCCATTCCCCGGCAACGGCGCCATTTGATAACCGCTTTCGCGGCGTTGTAGTAAAACGGAGTCTAACCTTTCAGTTTTTCCCCGAGTATCGTGTCTCTCGAGGAATGGCGGAGGAGCTTCTTGATTTTAAGTCCAGTCACAGGTTATCGCAAATTATTGGAAGCTTTCCAAATTAAAACTTTTGATTGATTTTCTAAACTACTTTTTGGAAAAGAAAGTAAATTTAATTGTGCAAATACTAATGATGGCTCAAAAATAGACTAAAGGAAAAAATATAATATTAAACTTAAATGGATTGTTGCAAATAAGGGCAATGAATTGAGTAATTAGAAATGGATATATTCTTGGACCTAGTAATTAGGGAAATTAAAACTAAAATTGGACTAATAATTTCTTTCCTCATAGACAAGAATAGAAACTATTTTCATTAATTTATCCTATTTCTAGGTGTCATTAATGTGTTCAAAAATGGTTGGCTTGAATTAAATTCTAACCTCATAGACAAGGTAGAAATAATTCTCCAATATTTTAATTAATAAAAATAGCCGAATTCATTAACTAGTTAAACTCATTATTTAAACAATTGAATTTATCTCTCATAGACAAGATGTAAATCCCTTTCATTAAATTATCCTATTTCTAGGCCTTATTAATGTGCTTGAATATGGTTGGCTTAAATTATTTTCTAATCTCATAGACAAGTTAGAAATAATTTTCCAAGAATTTAATTAATGAATATGGCTAACAATTATTAATTACTATTTCATCATTTCAAACAACTAGTCCAAATTATTAATTTTAATCCCTAATTTTCGGTCAACAAGTCAATCCATATTCCTTTAGTCAATTCATGCCCAAAACAAATTTAGCTAATAAACATCATTTTTTCATTTAACAATACAATGAATAAATTCAACATTAACAAGGAATTAAGCATGTATAATAGCAAAAATTAAACAAAAATAATATTCTTCCAAAATAAACTTGTAGAACTAAAATATCACCTGCGGGAATTTTTCCCGAATTTTATAACCTAAAATCCAATTTTAACAACTAATTGATAATTTTCCCAATATTAACTAGAAAATACAAAAAGCAACTAAAATTATTTTAAATTCGTTCTAAATTTTATATTGAATACTAGGAGTGATATTACTGTTAATTTAACAGGAATTAGGACAGAAACTAATTTTTTTCCTTTTTTGAGTATTTAATTTAATTTATGCAATAATAACAACTAAATGCCGGAATTAATTAAAATTTACTTCTACTTCGTAAAAATTAACTTTGTTTTGATAAATAACTACCTTGAGGCTAGTAAACAACTATATAATTAATTGGAATGGATTTAATGTCAACAACTATTTTATTCAAATTTAAGACGAAAATGCGAAATAGTTGAATAATTTTCTGGAAATTTTAGAAGCACAGATAGAAAAAACTAAGTACAGATTCAGATTCTACTCATTGAAAGGATGAAAATACATATAAAGAACTCACAATTTGGAGCTAAAATGAGAAAGATATGAAAGATTGAAGTTGAAGGTGCAACAATGGTGGAAATCCGAGCTTTGAGGAGGAAGAAGACGCTCTTTTTGATCTGATTTGGGCTTGAAATTGGTGTATTTGAGTTGAGGAAAAAGCCTGGATTTTATAGCCGAAAAATTCCCGTAGGCGCCCGGGCAGGCGGCCGCCTTCCGGCAGCCTCTGGCCGCCTGCCGTCCTGTCGCCGGCAGACCGTCGGTGGTGGTCCCGTCAGCCGTAGGCGGCCACAGAGGGCGGCCGCCTTCTGTCAAAAATGGCCGCCTGCCATCTTTTCGTTGGCAGATCGGATCCCGACGGATCCCGGCGGACCCCGGCCGCCGCAGGCGGTCCAGCAGGCGGCCGCCTGCCGTCCTGTCTGGCCGCCTGCCGTCTTGTCTGGCCGATCGGTGGTTGGTTTCGTCCCCTTGTGCCGCAGGCGGCCACCGTAGGCGGCCGCCTTCTGTCCAGTGTCGGCAGCCTTCGGTCTTTTCCTGGTCCCGAGTCAAAGCGAGGTTGACTTCTGAATTTTCCCGTAGGCGGCCGCGAAGGCCTCCATTTTGGGCGCCTATTTGGGCGCCTTCGGCCACTTTTGTCTGGCAGATGCGGCTTTTCTTGCTCTTCAACTTTGTCTTCTGAATCACCTTGATAAAATGCTTGCTTCTTCCGGTATAAATGCATTTGTCACTCATATTGACTCATTTTGTGCTCAATTGACCCGAAATCCCGCTAAACATATTATGGATGTGATTTTTACCTGATTTCATGAAACTTGAACCAAAATATATAAAATGTGTCTTTTCTTTCTATTTTCATTCAAAAATCGCTTAAATTTGATAAGAAAAATAAGTACAAAAATGGACTTATCAATTAACTTCAGCCAGATTCCGCAGCATATTCCACGCCTCCCGTCTTCTCGATGCATCTGGGAAAGCATAGTAGCAAGTTAAGCGCCAACCCGGATCACTTTCAGAGAGCTTGATTAAACAATCAATATAATTGTTATTAATCTGAGTAATCTGCAGATTCACATCACATTCCATCCGAGAGCCAAACCTCCGCTGCTGCCTTCACTATTTGTTCCTGCAAAATTACTATACCGATGTTTGTATAGCACATCCTTTGCACGCGAACTGCATAGTTTAGTTTCCATCAAAAAGAAGATATCCGGTCGGTGTGAATAGATTAAATCTGAGAAGCCTTGCATCGTTTTGGCATTCCCAAATCCTCTGCAATTCCAGCTTATCAAACTCATTGTACTGGATAATAAAAGCAATCAAAGCAATCTTCTCGATCTCCTTCAGCCTGAGAAAACACGATGCCTCCTGATCAACTTCTTCCTACACCGAAACTTCAACCCAAGATGTACCTATCTTCCACAAAGGACTGTCAATAACCCGAGCTCCTCGCCTTCGTGCCCTCTGCCCGGATAGATACTCCTGACGAGATGCACTAGGCGTCGGACCAGGAAGAGTCGGCCGAACCCGCCGAACCCACGGTCGTAAAAAACCGCCGTCGGAAAAACGACTCTAGCGGCTGGAAGCCCTAGAGAGATTTCTTCGATAACATAAGCGTAGCTTTAAAGGTCTACATAAACACAAATTCTATCTCCTCACTCTGCAATCTGCTCTTTCCCCGCCTTTCTTCCGGTATCTGGTGCTGGCTATAATCGGAACCAGCCGCCTATTCTCTCGATTAGGGTTCAATTTCCGCTTTGAAATGGCAGACGCTTACTGGAGATACAATGATGTTAGGCCGCTGCCGCAAGCTCTTCCGCCCCTTCTCGCATCGGTGGCCAGTGGCCGGCTCAAATCTGAAGAGGCGAAGAGTAGAACAACAAGGCTCAGTCGAGCAGAGACCTAGAGGCTAGCAAACAGAGGCGTCGTGCGCCGACGGCCGACCAGAGCGAGTCCGGAAAATAGAAAATTCCAATATGAACTTAATAAATAACCTTAGTGTCTTTTTTGTGCCTTCTCCCTTTTTATAATAAAAATAAATTTGGATTCTTATGTTTCACTTATTCTTGCAGACCTCTGCGTTGCTAGATGAATTGCATTTGTTTCATTTATTTATTTACTTGTTTTTATCATATTATACAGAAGAAATTACTCAGGATCATACTAAAACATAACATTTTCCCCAAAATATGATTATATGTTTGATTTCCCTTGATAGGACTAAATATTACATTTTTATCCATAATTTAATTAATTAATATAATTAATTGCCCCTAGTTCTCTTGCATAACTAAAGCCGTTTTGTTGGTGGCGGATCAGTATGATGACGATGACGGCGACATCCGATGACGTAGGCGGACAGGTAGATCGGTAGCGGCGGTTTAAATGAAAATTCTGACGACCGGCAGTGGCGTTCCGGATTTAAAAGTCTATGGACTTTTTGAAAGTCTACAAACCTATCCATGGATTTAAAAGTAAATAGAATTCATTCATAAAAAAGTCTATGGATTTAAAGCGAAGATTCATTATTTTTTGGCTTGAGAATATGATGGAATAAAGCAAAATGGATCACCAAACTGTCTGGTCTTCTATGTTATGAAGTAGCAGTCAGCCCAGACAATTTTGGACGCGATTTTCATTGAGTCATCCAGAAATAGTCTCTTTGTGCTTTGGTACAGGGGTAAGACTGCGTACATCCGACCCCCCTTACTCCACCGTAGGTGGGAGCATTTGCGACACTGGGGTAAATGATGATTTAAAATTCCATTGACTTTTTTAAAAGTCCATGAATTAAAAAAATTCCACCTCAATCCATATTCAATACACCCCCTTTATTCTTGGAGCATATATTGTTCCCCACAACTCCAACTGTACATTTTATTTGATGCAACAAAAGACTTGACATTATAGATTTATAGCAAATTACATATATGTTAGAAGCTTTGGCAATCAGCATGGGGTTTTTTACCGGAGAGGTTATAGTTATTATTGTTACTATTTGATTATCATATGTTTTTGAGGGAAAATTGGCAAGGAACAGTATTGGTCCCCCCCCTCCACAAAGGATGCCACATTTTGGACTCTTATGAGGATTCACAGATGCTTTTTACGACTCATCATCATTAGTATTTAATATAGAAGGAATATACTTATTTGAAAAATAGATTAAAAGCCCTGTTAATGTACAAAAGAGAAATTGAAATGATATAAAATGGAATTAGAAAGTAAGCAATGAATGAAGAGTTTGGAACAGAGGGATAATTGGAATGATATGTTTTCTTATATACTTTTGTGTTTTCTTGTGTAATTTATATTTTAAGGCTGTTTTGTTGATTAGTGATTCAGAAAAAGGTGAATTCACTGTGAAGACTTGGAACTTGAAGGCTTGGAGCTTCAAAAGAACTTGTGCTAATTTGCCTCCGAATCATTGACGCTTTTATTAATTTTGACTCCCTCTGTCATGGGAAAGAAGAATATCAAAAGGGAAAGTGGTGATAGCCAATACTCTACCTCCACTGTCTTTGTTTCCAATTTGCCCTTCTCCTTTACTAACACTCAGGTAGCTCCCAACTAAACATGATTTGTATTTGCTATATCTACACATTTGTTTATCTTATTTTGTACTTCAGCTCTAATATATTTATTTGGGGTGATAAAACAGCTTGAAGAAACTTTCAGTGATGTTGGCCCTATCAGAAGGTGTTTTTTGGTAACAAAGAAAGGTATATTCTTTGATACAGTTCTAACTAAGCTAATGGAATTTTCGCTGTTATAATATCTGCTCAAGGAATTTAATTCTGACTAACTAAACTTGATAAGCTATAGATAGAACCAATCATTTACATGTTAGTTTTTCTGTTTAATCTGATGCACGAAGAAGCTAAAAACTAATTACAGAGTAGTAGATTTTTGTCTTTTTTTATCGAAACCTAGAAAAATATTTTGGGAATAAGGCTTGGATGTTGTTTTTGCTGTTGTTGTATCGAAACCTAGAAATTGCACTGTGGTTACAAATTATGAAAATATTTTTTGTCATTCAATGCAGAGTAATTACTTTCTAGCATTTTTAATTTTTTTTTCATAACCATAAAAGGATTGCGTACATGGGTAAGATTGCGTACATCCGACCCCCCTTACCCCACCGCAGGTGGGAGCCTTTGCGGCACTGGGGTAAATGAAAATGATGAAATGATGATGAACCATAAAAGGATAAGAAGGGTAAAGTTTGTAAAAAATATTTGATGATCATTGAATTTGTAAAAGCAATAAGCAAATTTGTTCAAAGAACACAAATAAATAGGAGCAAAGGTAGTCTCTTCTAATTGTCCATCTTTTTCTACTGCATAGGGACTGCTGAGCACCGAGGCATCGGCTTTGTTCAATTGTAAGTTCACCATCACTGTACCAACGAGTCAATGACATCAACTTATTATTAATATGGGCTTATTGTTATACGGAGTATTTATTATTACACTATTATTGTTATTATAGTTATAATTGTTATTAGTTTATAAGTATTAGCACGATTTTCCTATTGTTATTAGTAATAGTAGTTCCCTATTAGCATTGTTCTATAACTCGTTGGGCGCTAGTCGGGCGGTTGAGGGGCGCCTAGGCGGCCGATTAGGCCGATTTTTTGACCGACTAGATCGATTAGTCCTCTACGGTTAGGATCGACTAGGCCGATTAATCGGTCCGACTAGGCCGTTTTTTTAGAACAATGCCTATTAGTATATGAAGTCTATTTTAGTTCATATTCATAGTAGCAGTATTGTAATAGGTTGTGGTTTTGGTTCTGTTTGTGGAGTACAGTGCAAATGTTGAGGATGCAAATAGTGCTATTGAGCAAAAAAATGAGTCAAGAGTTGGAGGGAGAAAAATTGGAGTCAAACATGCAATGCATCGGGTCCCTCTTGAACAACGTAAATCAAAGGGATCTCAAGGTTCGTGTTATATACGTGTGACATAACAAATTATACCGTGGGATCGGCCCACCGTGTGCACGGTGTGCCGATCCCAAGCGGCGCCGTTTTGATTCATAAATATCACTCACTTCCCTTCTGATTTCTAAAGGCCTGCCCTAGCAGATTCGATTTGGAGCCGGAAGAAGCCATCACCGGATCCCGATTCCTAGTGAGCCGCCCACCTGTATCAATTTCTTTTCCGCAAGTTTTGCTCGATGGTCGAAGTCTGGAAGAGAAAGCTATATCAATTTCTTCTCTGCCTATCTCTGCTCCCAACCGCCGATCTATTTGAAGCTTGGGCCGCCTCTAAAGCATGGGTTGGGGTTTTGGCTTTTTGCATCGGGACAAAGGTGTTTTCTGAGAAGAAGAACAAAAAATAAGTCTTGCAACGTAGATTTGGCTGAAGTGCTCTCTTGAAACATAGATTTGATTGGCTTAAAAAAGTTAAATTTTTATTAAAAAGATTTACATTTCGGTTTATATGAAGTTACGTATCTATTAGCGTGAATTACATTTCGATTTTTTTAATGAGTTACATTTTGATTACATGTGATTTACATTTGACATACTACGAGTTACACCACAAAACAATGCGGGTTACACAACAAAATACATCTTTGTTGTTCAATCAAAAATGATTTTCTTATTAACAATCATTTTTAATTGCCGTAATATTAAAAACAAAACATGTGCGCAATTTATGTAAAATAATTGAATAATTAGGCTCCTTTTTTCCATTAACCATGAGTTACATTTCAGGGCACAAGTTACATTTGTTGTTAACTGTAGTTACATTTGTATCAAAGCGAGTTACATCTAATTATGCACAAGTTACATCATTCATGTTACTGGGACGAAAAAAAATGTATACTCGTGTACTGTTCACGCGTGTACTGTTCAAGCGATTTTTTATTATTAAAAAAATGATTAAAACTACATCGTTTTGGGGTGTGGAGCATGGTACTCACCGTGGGATGATACCACGATATAAGAACTGGTCCAAATATTTGTTGTTGATTGAAAATTTTAGGAGAATGAATTGAAATAATATAATGGAGGAATTCAAGGAATGTTAATCTCTTTCTGCGATTTTGTTAGTTGATGCAAACAAGAAGGATCCTCAAGAGAGAGACAGGAACGAGAGTTTGCCTGATGAAGCAGTCAAGCCTGAACTCCCAAGAAGCAGGTTCAAAACTCTGATACGCTACTTAGAGTGTGTTTGGGACAGATGAGAGATAATATTATTTCAATAACCAATTACTGTTACAAATTTCCAATTATGAAAAACCTATTAAAAGTTATGCTAAAAGGGAGTTCTAAAAGCTGAATGTTTCCAGACATGGTTAAATTTTAAAAAAGAGCTGATTTTATTTAAAGCCTGAAATTGTAGGCTCCCAAACATGTTCAAATAATCCCAGAAGAAAAAGAAAAGCTTCAGTACTTTGGAAGGGCATGCTTGATGAAAAGAGTGGTTTAGAAAAGCAGAGGTAGACTACTGAACTCTAAGTGCTGAAAATGAATATCTTGCAATGAATGTGGATGGTTAAATGCGTATTTACTGTTACTAATTCAATTTGTGATTATCTTGTACGTTTGTTGTCACAAACAGGGTTGCTAGGACAGTCATAATTGGAGGTATTCTTTCTGCCGATATGGCAGAAGAAGTTCACAGTCTCGCCAAAGGTTGTGGTACAGTGTGCTCTGTTACCTATCCTCTTCCAAAAGAAGAACTTGAATATAATGGTAATAATAACATCTGCATTTCCTACGTTTTGTTATTTAACTCTAGCTCTATTTCTCTAAGAAATGTCTTACTCCCTCCGTCCTGAAAAGGGTCGTCAAAATTGACTTTTCTTGGCCAATGACAATCACCTTTGACCAATATATTTTTTAGGGAAAAGGTGCAAATAAGCTCATGTACTAACAAAAAAAGGTCAAATAAGCCCTTATTTAGGAGGCTCTATCCGGCCGTCGTCATGAATTTTTTTGAGCATCTTATTCATTAAGTCTAGTTTACTCATACCAAATTTCAGCTAAGACTATGTTTAGCGGGCATAAGTCCCTGACTTCTAGCTTTTGTACTGTTCAAAAAGTTCCTAAAAGCTTCTAGTTGTGTGTTTGGCATGACAATATTTAAGAGCTTTTCAAAAATTAAAAGATCTTTTTTGAGATGCTACCGAGAGTAGCATCTAAGAAAAGCTAGTGACTTTTAGTATTAATTAATCCTAACAGCTTGTATACCAAACCGAACTAAATCAAACAGTCAGCTTTTTATCAAACAGCTACCACCTTTTCTTTTTAAGATCTTTTCAGTCACTAAAAGCTAACAGTTATTAAAAAGCTCACAAAAGTATCTTTTCAGCTAGTTGTGCCAAACATACCCTAAAACTTCAATCGGGAAGACATTCAAATGAATTGTTGAAAATAAATGCGCAGTTAGAAACACAGTTATCTTCAAGAATTCATTTGAATGCCTTCCCGATTGAAGGAACCGGAGCTACTGGAGTTTACTTAAGGCTATGTTCATTTACAATTTGTTATTTTGACAAGCATCTTTTTCAGTTTGTCCTCGTTTTTTGGATTAATAAGAGATTTTTGTGTTACAAAGGAGCCAAATTTAATTCTGATATATGAATGCATATTTACAAAAAAAAAAAAAAATATGCACCCTTCACTCTGCTCTCTCCAAAGACATACTCTTATCCAACCCAAGAAGAAGCATACCAGTTATGATTCCTCTAATCCAAGTCTGTTTGGGTCTTCCTCTCCCTCTCCTCCCCGCCTCTTCGATCTCCCCACCTCTCAAGTCGTCTACCAGGTGCATCACTCGGTCTTCTGTGCACATGACCAAACCAACACAAACGAGACTCCTGCATCTTATCTTCTGTAGGTGCTACTCGTACCTTTTGTCTAGTGATCTCATTTCTCAAGCGGGTTTTCAGATATGTCCACCCATCCAATGCAACATACGCATTTCTGCCACACTAAACTTTTGAATGTGACATTTTTTCACCGTGAAACACTCCACGCCATACATTAGTGCAAATCTAATTGTTGTTCGATAAAATTTACCCTTCAGTGTAGTCGGCATACCTCGATCACATAGAAATCCTGATACACTCTTCCATTTCATCCACCTTGCTCCGATTCTATGAGATACGTCTTCATCTAATTCACCATCCTTTTGAATTATGGAGCCTAAGTAACGGAACATATCACACACCGGTATCTCCTTACCTTCAAGGGTAATCCCACTGTTACCACTATTTCTACCTCCACCAAACATGCACTCCATATACTCAGTATTGCTTCTGCTCAGTCTAAAACCTTTGATCTCCAATGTTTGTCGCTATACTTCGAACTTTGCTTTAACACCCGATTGCGTCTCCTCAATCAATACAATATCGTCGGCAAACATCATGCACCGCATATACTTAGACATGGATGAACTTACGAATCAAATTTTGATTTTGTAAGTTCATCCATGTTTATTGCAAAAAAGAAAATACTCGGAGCTGATTCTTGGTGCACTTCGATAGTAATAGGGAACTTTGCGATCCTCCCTACACTAATACAAACACTTGTAGTACAAGCCTCATTCATATCCATGATGATCCTAATATACTTACGTGATATGCCTTTTCTAGTTAAGGCCCGCTAGAGGACTTCTCGAGGTACTCTATCATATGCCTTTTCGAAGTCAATGAACACCAAATGCAGATCCTTTTTAATGTCTCTATACTTCTCTACAACTTGTCTAAGAGGGTGAATGGCCTTAGTTGTTCAGTATTCAGACATAAAACCAAACCGATTCTCTGAAATTTTCACACTTTTTCGGAGTCTTTGCTCAAACACTCGCTCCCAAAGTTTCATGGTGTGACTCATAAGCTTAATCCCTCGATAGTTGACACATTCTTGTACATCACCCTTATTTTCAAATAGGGGAATGAGAACACTTTTTCGCCAAGTCACTGACATTTTGTCGTTTCTCCAATTCATGTTGATTAAACGTGTTAGCCACTCGATGCCTTTCTCTCCCAAACATTTCAAGGCCTCAATCGGTATGCCATCTGGACTCACTGCGTTCTTTTGCCCCATCTTTCTCAGATCATTTTTAACTTCTGTCATTTGCCTTCTCACAAAGTCCCAATTTACCATACAATCTGGTATAGTAAGATCATCAATACCTTTCACTTTATTCCCGTTGAACAAGATATCAAAGTATGACATCCACCTATATTTTATTTCCTCGTCCTCCATTAGTATCCTTTGGTCGACATCCTTCACACACTTGACTTTTTCGATATCTTGGGTATGATCACGAAGGCGAGCAAGTATGTAAATATATTTTTCTCCTTCCTTAGAGTCCAATTTTACATACAATTCCTTGTTCACTTTCCCTCTTGTTTCCTTTACGTTTTTTTTGCTTTCCTTTTATAGTCTCCTTGTACTCCTCTATGTTCACATCGCTCCAACTTTTGCCCAACTTTTTGTAGCATTCCCTTTTGGTCTTTATTGCTTATTTCACTTCATCATTCCACGAAGGCGTGTCCTTTTTTGTGGTAGACATCCTTTAGATTCTCCAAGTATCTCCTTCGCCACTTTGTTAGTGGTCGACTTCATTGATAACCACACATCGTCTATATGTGCGTCATTTTAAATACACCATACATCTTCCTCTAATATTTTGTGTGTAAAACTGTGTTGAAGATCTCCTTCAAGCCTCCACCACCACTTTATCTTTGGTTCCACTTTTACCTTAACTCGCATTCTCTTTTCATCTTACAATCAGTGTAGCTAGTTCTCCAAGTCGTGCATACTAAAAAATAGCCAATTTAGGTAGTACTAGCTCCACTTTTATAGGTCGTACGGTAAGAGTCTTTTCTTGAACCAATTGTTGATTACAACCAATTCATATGTCGAGACAAAATCTAGAATGTTCTTCCCCGCTTCAATTCTAGTGCCAAAACTATGTCCTCCATGGATATTCTCAAAACCATCATGACTTGGGCCCACATGCCCGTTGAGGTCGCCTCCTATGACCAACTTCTCTCCCCTTGTCACTCATCGCACCACTTCCTCGAATCTTCCCAAAATTGTTGAGTGATAGATGTATCCAGTCCCACTCTGTGGTGCATATGCACTTACCACGATCATGATCTCATCTCCTAGTACCAATTTAATGCTCATGATACGGTCGTTTTTCCTAAAGACTTCCACCACTCCCTCAACATAATCACACGCCACAATAATGCCTACTCCATTATGGTCTTATCTCTCCCCGAAAACCACAACTTAAAACCTCTGAGATTAATCTCATGTGCCTTTTCTCCAACCCATTGAGTTTCTTGCACGCACATAATGCTATTATTCCTCCTCCTCCTCCTCCTCCTCATAACCTCGACTACCTCAGATGATCTTCCCATAACAGAGCCAACATTCCACGTTCCAAAACACAATTTAGCACCTTGCCTTCTCTTCTTCACACCACATCGACCCCCACCATGCCCTTGAATATTTATGTCGTTGGTTCCTTTCCACCTTGGAGGGCCAGCGTATGAATGGTTCAATCGATTGCCCGAAGGAAGCATCGATTCGTGGCAGGAACTCGCCCACCGCTTCCTCACACAATTAGCCAGGAGGCACCGATCAAAAAAGCATTTCTCCCACCTTCTGAACGTAAGGCAACAGAAGGAGGAAACCCTTCGGAGTTTCCTGGAACGCTGGAGGCAGGCCTCCCTCGAGGTCGAGGGCGCCGATGACAGAACACTGATGGCCCTCTTCCACACCGTCCTCCGCAACGGTAATTTCTCCAGGAGCCTTATTACTGATCCCCCCCGCGATTATACAAAAGCCCTTCAGCGGGGGGACCGATATGCCGAGGCCGAGGAGATCGAGAAGGATCGCCGCAATCCGGAGCCTTCACACAAGAATGATAGCAGAAATCGCCCCGGGGGGCCACCCCCTCCGGCAAACTGCGAGGTACAATACATCGAACACCCCCGAGGTGGCCAAGCCAGACCCGGGGGCGGTTACAAGAACAACTCGAAGGCATGGGCGCAACCCGTCCTCTTGGAGCACCCACACACTCTCCTGACACACCCCATCAGCACTATTCTGGATTACGCAGAAGAGCGAGGCCTCGTGGAGCGAGACTCCCGCGCACCCCTCGAAATATATGCCATCAGTCCCTACGAGCCTTATTGCCGTTTTCATCGCCACCATGGGCACAAGACTGATGACTGCCATCAGCTAAAGACGGCCATCGAAAGGCTAATACAAGCGGGCCACTTGTCTCAAATTATCAGGGGCCCTCCTCCTCAGGGCCCCCCATCACCAAGGGCCTCCGCTGAAGGCTAACAAATGGGTTAACCCCAACACCATTCCCTTGGGGAATCATCAAGGGAGGAAACATGAAATTGGGAACCTCAGTGAGGAAGAAGATCCCCAGCATCAATACAAGCGCCACGTTCACATGATCACTGGTGGCAACACCGGAGGCGACTCCACGAGCCAAAGGAAGAAATGGGCTCATCCGGTCTACAATCTTCCATGCCCCCGGCTAAGAGGCCGAGGGCGGATCCCATCTTCTTCATAGATGCGGACCTGCCCCTGGGTTCTCTTCCTCACAGGGATGCCCTCGTCATCCGCACCGAAATCAATAACGCCATCATCCTCCAGACTTACGTTGACACAGGGAGTTCTGTCAACGTGATGTATCTCAGCACCTTCCGAGAGTTGGA